CTCCTACTATCTAAAAGTGACGAATCCTCTATTGGTCATTCACAATCTTCATACGATTCTTGACATCCCCAAATGATGTCGTATTAGCAGCTCTTGGTAAAGCAACATCCAATACCGTCAAAAGCAAGACTGTCCTCATATAAGATACTATGACGACCTCAAGTCAAAAGATCAATCCCACTACCGAACATTAGAAATCAACAACTGACACTCAGATAGTTATCCATGTGGAATCTTTTGTTGGGTCTCCAATGTTTTGTTCTATAACAAAATACTCACGTGTTCATTTAAGTGTCATCACATTTTAGCTTGTGAGATCAGCTACTTACTTCACAAGTAAGAAATAACACACGTAATGGTCTATCCATTATAACGATATCCGTATCTCATTATTACTTACGACCACGGACGATTTAAGATTCAATCATATGTAATTTGTATCTCACAATCACAACTCCTTGTGATTAACAAATTATGAAGATTTGAATCTACGGACTCTATTATTTATTTAATTGTCTATTAATTAAATAATAGATCTGTCATTAAATTGCATTAATTATATATCAAAAGTATTTATGTCCAAAATTGGTTGGATCTAGGACATAACACTTACATAAACAACTTTATCAAAACGAGATCTATAGTTAGACATGATCGAAAAGTTTTGTTTATAGTTAAGTAGACGCTTTAAAAATTGAGATCAATGTTAAAGTAGGACGTAGTTTTCAGTGAGATTTTATTTATTTATTTATTTATTTATTTTTCCTCCCATAGTGATAGGCTATCCTAAACAGTCAAGGTTGTGTCATTTTTTACCAATAGTGTTTATTTCACGAATTTCTTTTTGATGAAATGAATACGTTGGTAGTCAAGCATTTGGTACCAATCGAAGTACACCTTTGATGGTATTTGGCCAATCTAAAAGCTTAGGGTTTAGACGGTCATCAAATTTAACATCTACTTTAATTTTCTTGGTTATGTCATCAACAAGGTCCCTCTGTTGATCATAATATGGGCCCTGGTATGATTGACAAAAGTTCCAAGGTGTGTCAAATTGTGTGTGGTGCCAAGAATTGTGCATATTAGCTAATTCGTCAACGGTGAAATCTGGAAAGTGTGATGAACGGTACAATATACATTTTGACCTACTGTCGAGGATTAGAAATATTATCTAGGGGTTATTTATTCAAATTTTGAAGTGATTGATTGAAAAGATCTTTAAGTTTAGCTAAATTGAATAAAAGCAATTTGAAGTAATAAAATGTTGCCTCATAAAAAAAATAATAAAAAAATAAAAAAATCAGTGGGACAAAACTTGATCGAAGGAAAACGACACAGGTACTCCTCTTGATTTCAATTCTTGTATCAAACGATCCATGTCTTATATGTCAATATCTTCAATATTGATATTTTGTAAGTCGGTGACTTCAAATAACATCATCCTCATATAAAATATTTATCAACCTTTAAGGAGTGTAGTAATATGATGATTCAAAAAATAGCTATTGTTGATTTCTTCGAGAGGCTCATACAAATAGGAATATTGTTTTGAGAGTAAATATCTTACATGTTATAGACATTCTTCATCAAAAGAATATGCCTCATTAAAACCGTATTAGGAAAAACCTTGTGGAAAAAATCTTAATGAAGGAAAAATAACTTATTATTCTTTCGAATACACTACAAAAGTTGTTTAGTTAAAAACCTTGCCAAGAAAATCCAATGGAACAAATCTTGATCGGGGAAAAAATAGTACAACGCGTATTTAATCCTCTCATGATAATATCATTTGAATTATTCTTCATACATATTAAATTCTTCGAGAATAACATTAATAGTCATACCAGATAAGTTAATTATCACATATTTCAAATTTCATGTGCAAATGTGTTGTCAACAACTTTTTCCATTTGGATTCTATTATTTTTTATAATGGCATAACTTATTGAGATATCTCAATTTTCAATATATTGGTTACTTGAATCTTGGGTTTTTATAATTTGTTATGTTTAAATGCTCATTAAGAATATATATATATATATATATATACTCCTTAATATGACCATCTTTACTAATTGCTTCATTTTTATTTGATTTTTTTTTTGGGGTATTAGAATCAAATATTATCACGTTTTAGACGTGCCATAAATTTATCAAATATAGTTTTAACAAATTGTGCTTCCAAGAGTCAATTCGAGTTGGAGCATTTAAATATGTTGTGTTGATATTGCTGATATCTTTTGTTTGGTAAATGCATATAAATTAATTATCTTTCGAACTTTTGATTCGAATTATCTTTTGCGATGATTTATATAATGATGAATTTGTGCATTATTTGCATTTTTTTAATTCTTCTCCTTAATCTTGAGAAAATTGTTCAGTCAAATTGACAATCTACACATTACTTTATAAAATATCACCCTTCAAACTACTCATTTATTCTTTGCATTGTTTACTCTCTATCTTAGTGTATTATAGTTGATCAATTTTACATATATTGTACTTTGAAAATAAGTATGTGAGAAAAATTAGGCTTTGACAAAAAACCAATTATAACAGGAAAAACTATGATGTTGATATGAAGCGCAATAACTTTCCCTAACAGAATTGGAAGTACTTTGTTCTGAATTGAATTAATTGGAAGAGTTTAACAAGCAATCATGTTAAATCATTTATCGACATTTCAAACTAACAATTTTCAAAAGGTCGAGATTTAGAATCCCTGGCATTAAAAAAACACTATCTTAATTGTATAATTTGAAAATTATGTTCATAATTTTAAATTTAAGCAATAATTTCACTAACTTCAGGTTGCGAATACCGTACAATCATCTAGTTTACGTATCAAATCTATTAGGTAAAAATAACATTTAGATGTGCCCCCTTTATCATCTTAATTAATTTTTAGAAATGTAGAAAATTTAGTACTATTTTAGTTAGTAATATTTAATGATCAATTGTTAATAAAGAGAACAAATAATATATTGGAATTCATTGGATTAAAGAATCTTCTAGTTTTTCATTGAGTGTCCATTTAAATTTTTAATTTCATATCATTATTGGTCTAGTGATGGTCTATTGGTCTTGCCAAATCAAATTGAACTTCTAGTTCAATATAAAATATAATTCAATATTTAATTTTGAAAAAATATGATTAAACATTATATAATCATATAAAAATCAATCAAGTAGACAGACTAATCAATGTCAAGGTGATGTGAGTTATATATTTTCTTTCAAGAATAAAACATGAATCAAAATTATATATTCTTCGAAACATGTACTACTTCAAAAGCACATCATCTTTTATTATGTTTGTTCAAAAATAATATGTCAATATTCTTCTAGAGTATAGAAAATTATAATTCATACTCTTTAACAACGATAAATTAATGTTCTTTTTGAATATTAATAATATAGAAAATTGTTTTCATTTAAAAATTATAATTCAGTATTGAGTTGTTTAACTTGTGTTTCTTCAAGAACACATTGAGATATGTATTATTCAAGATGCGTGCTAGTTCGAGAGCATGTTAATTTTAATACTGCTTCTTCAAAAGCAATTATACAAGAATTTATTCTTTAGAGTAAGAACATAATATACGTTAGTTTGTATTTGATTATGCTCTAACTAGAATATTTATAAATAATAGTGTGCTACTTCAGAAGCAACAATAATTTTTAACAGAAGCTGTGATGATTAAAAAGAAGAAAAAATATTAAGACAAACACACATTAAAAATTAAGTTGTTGAATAATTAATTTTTCTTACTAATTCGAAGATAAGTAAATGCAATTAAAAAGTATTCATGGCAGCAACAATTAATGAGGATGACATTTGAACTGATCAAATCAAATGAGTAATGCTATTTAGCCCCACATGGGTTGCAATCCCCAGTTTATGTGGTGTTAATGTGGCATTAATTGATAGGTAAAATTAAATGACTCGTTTAATTTCACATTTCTTTTAACCAATCATCTAGTTCCACCTAAATCGGGGTTGCAAAGCTACATAGCATAATTCAAATCAAATCATAAAGAAAGAGCGATGGCAGAATTGATTCCAACTTCACAAAATTGAAGGTTGTACAGGTGCGCAGAATGCGTGTAAACCATTACCCAATTAATTTGGCAAACTTTCAACAAGATGAATTCATTACACATCAGCAGTTTGTAAACATAAAATTCAAGTGTTATTAAATTAATTTTGGTACACGTTTATGATTTTGATAGTAAAACCTATTAACTTCTAATTAATTAGCTTCGGTTTGTTTTCCATTATTTGTTCATTAAAATGAAAAATATGATCGTTATCCATCATATCAAACCATCATATTTTACTTTCTATCTTTTGTGTGAGGCATGTAACGACTATATTTTTCATTCTCATTCTTGCATTAATATGGCTCAAACGGGGCCAACTTTGATTTTGAGAGAATCGTGTTAATGAAGTGTTATAAATTAGAGAGAAAAAAGGATCAAAAGAGAGAAGCCAATAAGTTTATGTATTATTAAAAATCAAAGCTTCATATTTATATGAAAGAATTAGGATTACAAAATATACAATAATCATAAGGACTGAGACTACAGAGTTATAAAAGTCATTTATAAATACTACTATATTTACAACAAATGTTACCCAAAATTTAGTTATAATTACCAAGTAAACGGGTGATCTACAGTAAGATGAGAATCCTATATATTCACCAATTTTATTTACTTCCTTACTTCATTTCTCGAAGACGATAAAGTAAATTTAACATAGTTGTGATTCGAAGTAGTAGTAATAAAGAGTAGTAATAATGATACTAAATAAATAAATAAAATGGTGTTATGCACTATGAATGATTTGACTATACGGTGTCTTGTATCCTTAATAAATAAACGAACGAAGGAATAAAAATATATAAAATCGATTTTATTTCACTAGAAATAATATTTATTTATTTTACTAAAGTTGTATTATTCAATAAAATTTATTTTTACCTTGTTACTATTTAGTTACAAATAGACGTAAAAATTGCAGAGTTTTTCTCTCGTCCACTCTCCATCTCTCCTCATAAAAGCCAGTCTCCACCGGTTGAGATTACAGAAAGAAAATAATCAGTTGAAATCCTGCAAAATGTCACTTCTTTCAGATCTCATTAATCTCAATCTCTCCGACACTACTGAGAAGATTATTGCTGAATACATATGGTGAGTTTTCTTGATTGCATCATTGGGTTGCTCTGTTTCTTGATAAAATTGGATTCTCTGTTTTTCCTTTTTTTTTCTCCCAAAAAAATTATAGGACTTTGTTTTACCTATCCCTTGATGTATTTTTCGTGGATTTTGATCTGTTTTATCGTCAAATTCTTTGGTTCTTCGTTTTGGCTTGTTTCTTATCTTTGCGTGCTCTCTTTTGAATTAATATGGACTGGTAACTTGCTTTTTATTATACATGTTTTGATTTTTGATTTTATTATTATTATTATTATTATTATTATTATTATTATTATTTTTTAATACAGTTTTGTATATTAGTGTATATTTTATCCGCAGATCTTCTGATGTTTATGCCCTTTTTTCTACATTTTTACGTCCTTTTTCAATCAAATCAACCCCATGAACAGAAGAAGTCACATTTTAATTTGGAGTTTTTGAGTATTTTCCCACAGTTATGGCTTCTCACAGAACAGAGAAATATCTGATCTTTTGTATTTATCATTCTTTATGATCATTCTACAGTAATCTTTATTAATGGAGATTGATTGTGCCTTCTCATTGTTATCCTTCTTTTGAATGTACATTTTTTTGCTGTCTACCTGATGTTTATATGATTTATTTCGAGGCATAGACACTAAATAGTAAGCATGGGAAGCAGTTAAACAAGGAGTAAGCAAAAATCCGATAACCTGACTAACCGAACTGGCCAGTTTAGTCGATTTCCGAGAAGGGAAAAAAAATACCTGAATTGAGATTGCAGATTGCAGAAGCCGCGAATTATTTATATATTATGGCACTGATTATACTACATTGTTGTTAATTCAGTGTAGTTGTTTCTTTCTATTCTCCTGATCAATTCCTTTGGTCGTCTGTTGTACATCGATGACTAATTACTTGTGCTAAACAATATTTTAACAGGATCGGTGGCTCTGGTATGGACCTCAGAAGCAAAGCAAGGGTAATTAACCCTTCTTATTACAGATTTTCTCCTAATGTTTCATAATGAGTTTATAGATTTCTCATATAGTATCTTTGGTTTTGATAGACACTTTCTGGACCTGTTAATGACCCTGCAAAGCTTCCGAAATGGAACTATGATGGGTCGAGCACAGGCCAAGCGCCTGGAGAAGACAGCGAAGTCATTCTATAGTAAGCCGTTTTCCATTTAAGATATCTTATATAATGAAGTATATGCATTCGAATTAACGCATTTCATGATGCAATGCGATGAGACAGCCCTCAGGCAATTTTCAGAGATCCATTCAGGAGGGGGAATAACATATTGGTGAGTTGTTTTTTCCTTATTACTAATAAATATTTTGCTTTTAATTATGTTTGGATTATCTTATAATATGAGATTGCCTTTTCATCTTTGTCCGTAGGTCATGTGTGATGCTTACACCCCAGCTGGTGAGCCGATTTCAACTAACAAAAGGCACAGTGCAGCCCAAATATTCAGCCATCCTGATGTTGTTGCCGAAGAACCATGGTATTGTATCATCATTACGTTCTCCATTCACGACTCCTCAGTTAGTTAAATTCCTTTCTACAATCTCCGATTTCTGAAACTATATTCTTAACAGGTACGGCATCGAACAAGAATACACCTTATTGCAAAAGGATGTTAACTGGCCTATGGGATGGCCTACTGGAGGTTATCCTGGACCTCAAGTAATTATCTTGCTTTTGTTTTTGTTTTTTTCTCCTTCAAGTCTTCCAGTGTCATTGCTCCTTAATCTGTGCTTATTAACAATTGTGATTGCTGAAATGTTTTGATTAGTTCAATTAAGAGTTTTGGCTCATCAATTGATAATAAACTCTTGTGTTGCATCTAGGGTCCATATTACTGTGGAGTTGGAGCTGACAAAGCCTTTGGACGTGATATCGTAGATTCACATTACAAGGCATGTCTTTATGCTGGAATCAACATAAGTGGCGTCAACGGTGAAGTGATGCCGGGCCAGGTATAGTTTACCAGTCTTTAGCATCCCCTCTCGACTGGCTACTTATTTTCTTTTTATCTTCATAAGTTTCAATGTGAACATTTTGCAAATTCTATTCAGTGGGAATTTCAAGTTGGACCTGCTGTTGGCATCTCAGCTGGTGATGAGTTGTGGGTAGCTCGTTACATCCTCGAGGTACTCTCTAACATAACTTCTTGTGATTATTATTATTTTTAGTCGTTAAATGTTTCGCGCGCTAATGGACTCGGAAATTGTGTTGGAATGTTCGATGATGAATTGATTTACAGAGGATCACCGAGATTGCTGGGGTCGTATTATCATTCGACCCCAAACCTATCCAGGTGAGATTTTTATGATCCAATATTGGCTAATATGGCATAGATAGGATCTTGGCTCGGTTTATGATTCCTTTTGTCTGGTTTATTACTAGGGCGACTGGAACGGAGCTGGTGCTCACACCAACTACAGGTAATGTTTTGGAAGAATAATAGATGATAAAATTGCACCTTCTATTTGAGTGTCTAATGAATCTCACTTTCTTCTGCTCTCAAATAGCACCAAGTCTATGAGAAATGATGGAGGCTTTGAAGTTATAAAGAAGGCAATTGAAAAGCTTGGACTTAGACACAAAGAGCATATTTCTGCATACGGTGAAGGCAATGAGCGTCGTCTCACTGGAAAACACGAAACTGCTGACATAAACACTTTCAAATGGGTAAATATAAACTCTCTTGCACAGTTACTTTTTGGTAATATGGAAGCAATATCTTTTACTTTGATTAGTTCATTCAGTTTTTCGACTTGTCTTCCAACAGGGGGTCGCAAACCGAGGAGCATCGGTCCGTGTAGGTCGAGACACGGAGAAAGCAGGAAAGGGATACTTTGAGGACAGGAGGCCTGCTTCAAATATGGACCCTTATGTTGTTACTTCAATGATTGCACAAACCACCATCCTCATGAAGAATTGAGAGAAATTCATTTGTCTAAAATTGAAAAGCTTGGACTTAGACACAAAGAGCATATTTCTGCATACGGTGAAGGCAATGAGCGTCGTCTCACTGGAAAACACGAAACTGCTGACATAAACACCTTCAAATGGGTAAATATAAACTCCCTTGCACAGTTACTTTTTGGACATATGGAAGCAATATCTTTTACTTTGATAAGTTCATTCAGTTTTTCGACTCGTCTTCCAACAGGGGGTCGCAAACCGAGGAGCATCGGTCCGTGTAGGTCGAGACACGGAGAAAGCAGGAAAGGGATACTTTGAGGACAGGAGGCCTGCTTCAAATATGGACCCTTATGTTGTTACTTCAATGATTGCACAAACCACCATCCTCATGAAGAATTGAGAGAAATTCATTTGTCTAAACGTTGGATTTTCTCTCAGTAGGGTTTTCGTCGTTTATATTTCTTGCTGCAAAGGTTGAGATCATCGCTCTCGTCTTATGTTAAGTGTCTATTTAATAACAAGCACGAAAGGGTCGATTTTCGCCGTCGGAAAATGAATATCTTATCTAATCGTGCATCCTTCTACTGCAATGTTTATGGATTTTATGAATGGCCTCAGACAATTTGTAATCTTTCGTGTTCTGTCCAGTAACAGAAATGAGACCTAGAGCATTAGGCATCCCTACTTTTTGTGGTTGCATGCGGGTCCATTTGGCCTTTCTACCTTTCCTACACTTCTAATGCACTCCTTAAATTGTAATTTAGGTGTCATCGAAATAGAAAAACGTGATATTAATATCTAATAAATACGCGCAACTTAGTTCAAATTTCATCTACAATAATTTCGTCTATAATTCAAATTTCATCTCTAATGTGTATGTATAATGTGAGAAAGAATAAATAATCGGGAGAGAAAAAATAAGAAACATGAGAAAAAATACCGAAAGGTAGAAAATATTAAATTATGGTGAATTACTCTTTATAGAAGACCCCCTCTATATCGACAAATGTCTTACTTCTTTCTTGCCCCATCAACTAGATATACTTCTAGATATATTGTATTGAAGATAAACTTAGCAACTCTTTTAGCATTGGCATTGACAATGCGCAAACTAGACAACATGGCTTGAGGGGCCTTCCCATTCTTTGTCACCATAGAATTTTTGGAGGCATGAATTAAAATATCTTTTAGTTTCTTAATATTATTTAGAATATATTAAAATATATTCTAAGAAATAAATGTTCCAAATCCTATGCAATATTTACATATCATCGAAGTAGGTGGAGAAACAATTTTCATAGAAGTTACGAAGCTCAAGTAGCTCAACGATGTCGTTTGATGTCTTGCCGTCGACAAGTTAGGATGAAACAAAGCCTAGGGCCTAGAGGTGGATTCGAAGAGAGCAAGAGGATAGGTGGAGACAATTAGACAAAAATTGTGGAAGAAATCAGTGACAAGAAGGCGAAGGTCAAGGATTTGAGGTTTTTCCACGATGTGGCTGTGGTTCCCTGCCATGCAAGTGGGAGGAAGAAAGGGGAAAATTGTCAAGGAATTTAAAAAATAATAATAAAAATAAAATAAAATAAAAAAATTGGTTGTGAAATTTTATGGGGTCAGTTGACCTTACATGACGCCATCTAGATCCGTCACTTGCAAAAATTGAGTTGGCAATGTCTTTGAGACACAAATCGAAGTACATTGTTATAATCCTTCTGGTTCTTGAATTTTTATATTATCTAGAAAGACGAGAATAAAAGTTGGGTGATTCACCCCTAAATCTATATTGCATTTTGTGCGTTTCCCTTGCATCCCTATTGTCGCTTACGTTGTGCCTTAGTGGGAATCCCTGATGTTGGCTAACTGAGATCGTTTCACAGTGCCGTAATGAGATGAAATTTGCCCACTATTTTGTTTAAAATTTGACCTATGCTACATCAGTCAATCAGCGAGTTGCTACAAAAGCGATGGTCGAGAGCTGGACAAAACAGAAAAAAGATTGAAGATTGACTAATTTAAGAAAGGTCAATTGTATTTTTCCTTATGTTTAAAAATACTGATAGCTACTATTTGAGCTCCATTTTTTATATTTTATATTTTATATTTTTGCTAAGAATACATTTTGAAATAGTAGATTAATGGAGAATGTGTGGTTAAAAAATAAAGAAAAATTTTGAAATTGCTTGTAATATTATTTTATTAAAGATTGTGTGATTTAAAAGAATAATGAAAAAAAAAATGTATATTAAAAATATTGAAGATCAAACAAGGGCTTAGTAAATGTAGTAATAAAGTATAACAAAGTACAATTCCTTAATTTGGTTTTAACTAATATTAACTCTAATTGAATAGCACTATAGGATTGTTTGTAATTATAACTAAAATAATCTAGAATTATCTATAAGCTAAAATAACGAACAACTAAGAGACATTTAGACAAGCACTAGAATTTCATATACATTTTATTAATATCAGTCGAGGACAATGAAACGTAACCTTACCTGTGAACCTACACTATCTCTATGAAGATTACAAAAATGTGTAGATGCATTTAATCACTTGACATTTAATTAAATCATGCAAGACATATATGCATATCTCTATCCTATATTGGACTCTAAAATGATTATTATCAATTGAAAAAATCTTTATAATTTATTTCTAATAAAATAAAGATCATAATTTAATTTAATTATTAGCTAGTATTGAAAGCATTAATCATATAATAAATATTCAAGATAAACAAGCATCAAATGTTGAAATCTCAAAATTGAAATTAAAACATCAAAACAAAGGGTTCAGCTTTATCTTAGTGACTAAAAATTTATCTTGAAATTGGTTTGTTTGAGATGGTGAAGTTGGTGATATTGATGTCAGTTATCGCGAGGTGGTGGTGGTTCTGGTGGAGACGGTCTACTGGAGGATTGGTCAAAAATTATTTGATTGATTGTGAACAATAAATTGATTAATGTGTGTCCAATAAATAATATGTAATCAATATCAATAAATAATGTGTGACCTAAAAATGTGTTAAATTGTTATCAATAATTTGATAATTTGTGACTTAAAATAATTCTTGACTCATTAATTTGATATTGTGTGACCGTTAAATAAGTCGTGACTTATACATTTTTTTATTTGTAATCAAGGAATAATGTGTGATCTATTTATTTGATAAATTTTTAATTGAGAAATCAGTTTGTGACCTATAAAATTTTTAATTTGTGATAAAAAAAAATTCCGTGACCAATTAATTTGATATTTTGTGACCAAATCGTGTCAATATATTTATCTTATTAATTAATTATTTTATAAATAAAATTTAATTAATATTTGATTTTTAAAATTTTGAACTTTGTTTCTTAATTTTGAAATGGGCTATACTTATTTTCTTAAATATGAAATTTTCCCTATCAAATATCCCAAACATGAATATTTATCCATTTCAAACAAAATTAGCTACTCAATACATACAAATAAAATAAAAATAACTTAGATGACTTGAAATTTTGCCTCAAGTTTTGAAATTGCTTTAAAAATTCATAAAATTCTTCCAGGATATGCTATCAAAATCAATTATTCTAAATATCCAATGTTAGATTGGTGTGTGTGCGTGCGTGCATAGTAAGTTCAATCACCATAAACTCCAGATTTGATTATTTCTTGACCTTAAAAAGTCAAATATTTTCTCTCTCTTGGAAGATGCACATCCACAAACTTATTTTTCATTCTTACACCAGGGAGTTTTTATGCTAATGGTTGAATTCTCATCACTCTTTCATATTCCTTTCAAGTTCAGTTGGATTTAACCAATGAAAGTTACTATCTCGATTTGTGATGATTCTCCATAGATTTGAATATCTGAACCTCCAAATTTCAACTAACTTAATAACCTTCATCAGAAATCTAAGTCCCAAGTTAAGTATCCTAGGTGTAATCAGGCTTATAGTGCTTCTTTTATTTTATGCAATTATTCTTTTATATTTGCTATGTGTATTCTGTTTCATGCACCAGCTTTTATCCTTTTTGATTTTGCCTTTTTGGTATAATTGCTTGAGATCTTGATTTGTAGCAATTATCTCATAAATAACTACGTCATACTCTCAAGTTATCTTCATTGTGTTCAAAATCATCCACATCATGGTCTACTTCATCAGTTGTTTCATGTTCTTAGAGATACCTTTCCTTTTAAGAGTTACACATATAGAAGAATGATGATTTTGTTTGAGTTGAATCAACCCACTTCACTTGCAAGTCAGATGCAATCCTTACAAGTAGAATTGAGAAAACGTGTATTGTCGAAAAAAATAAATTCGACCTTTATCTCGTATTCAGAGTTATCAACACTAAGGAAGTTTTTCACATTACGGTACACGTCCGTATATGATGCATTCCCTAATACATGAAGTGAAATAATACCTTCTCTATTACTTCCAGTCAAATTTCATGTCCATCAACCATGTTTATTCCTTAGAAACTGACCAAAGTAACAAACTGCGAGGAGTTAGTATTCATATCTTCGTTTTAAAATAAAATTAAGAAAAGTTAATTACCTAGATATGCTTCAAAACTAGATAGCCAGTTAACTGACTAAGGACCCGCTACAAATTACAATCAATTGACAATCGTAACAGATAATCTATTTAACAATGCACAAACTACATTATTTTCTATAAATTTGCTCAAAAAATTCACAAATTTATCCAATAATTATCTATGTATCGAAACACGCTAAAATAATCCAACATAGCATTATAATTATAAACGAAACTTAAAACAATGAAAACCAAACTAACAACTACAAGAAAGTACAAAAGTTCTTACTGACCCAAAATACTGATATGTTGGCATCTAATAAACTGTTCAGAGATGTTTTTGAGGACATGTATGAGCAAGTAGAATATATTTTAGTGAGGCTTTAGAGTTAGAGTAAATAGTTTGATGAAAATGAAAGAATCGTTAATTTTTTAAAATCTAAATTGAGTTATCGTGACATATTTTCTTTTGTAATTGAAAGAATATTTATGTCTTTTTATCGTTAGTTTATTTTAGTAATTTTTAAACTTAGCTTGTATTTGAGTCGTTAAAAATGATTTTTAAGGTATTGAATTTTTGAAGAATTTGTGATTAAAATGTTGAAAAATATTTTAGAATTATGTGTAAAATATTTTATTGCGAAAATGTGTAATTAAAATGAGTTTTAAAGATTATCTATTTATTTATTTAGATAATGGGTCAAACAGGGCATAATAAGTATAATTTTCTCTCTTTGAATGAAGCCTGGTAATAGGAACATTTTCTTTCGAGTTAATTGTTTCAATGGTCATTGAACTTAGGTTTATGTTTATGATTGGTCACTAAAGTTTAAATTTTTGAGTTTTGGTCACTGAATTTAGATCAATGTCTTCGATTGCTCACTGAACTTAGGTTTATGTCTTAAATTGCTAGCTGAAATTTAAAATGTGAAGTTTTGACCACTGAACTTTGAAATATGTCATACGTTATTCAATAGTATAATTGTTGAATTTTGAAAAATATCATATTTACAGTGAACAATGTAAAATATTTTTTAAAATTCAATGAGTAATGTACAATATTTTTTAAAATTTAGTAAATAATATATAACATTTTTCAAAGTTTAGTGGCCAAAGCTCAATATATTTAACTTTAATGAGCAATCGAAGATATGGACCTAAATTAATGATCAAAATTTGACATTTTAAATTTTAGTGATCAATTAAATATATGGACCTAACTTGAGTGACTGTTGGAACAATTAACTCCTTTCGAATTGACACCCTGCTTCTGTCGAAGTACAGATGAAAATTGAGGGAAATTTTCGGAGAGGGGGGCGGATGGGCATTTCAAGAACCACCACTAAAATCCTCCCTCTTCAATTTCACTACCTCTTTTCCACCACCGCCAGCTATAATTCACCACCATCCCGCCTCCGGACCTGCCCCCAACCCCAACTCCAACTCCAACTCCAAGACCCAGACCCCATCCTCACCACTCTGTCTGAATCAATCAAAAACTGCTCAACAAAACCGCTCCAAGCCTCGCTTAAACACCTATTACCTTCTCTTAAACCCCAACATATCATCTCCCTGATTAGCCTAAACCCGCACTCACTCTCTCCCGACTCTCTCGTTTATTTCTTCTCATGGCTTTCCTCTCGCAGTCACTCCACTTTCCGCCACAACCTCCACACTTACTGCACCATGATTCACTTTCTTTGCACCCACCAAATGCTCCCAGAAGCCAAAAGTTTGCTTCAAACCATCGTTTCAAGAAAGGGGAAAGATTCAGCTTCTGTTGTTTTTGCAACAATTCTTGAAACCAAAGGTACCCAAAGATCTGATCTTTATGTTTTCGATGGCCTTATCAATGCTTATCTAGAATCAGATTCTGTATCTGATGCTATTCAATGTTTTAGGTTGTCTAAAAAGCATAAAATCCGGGTAGCATTTGATGCTTGTAAAAATATTCTTGAACATTTAATGAAATTAAAGTCTTTCAAGTTGGCTTGGGAATTTCATAAGGAGATTTTAGAATGTGGATATCCTGCAAGTTTGTATTTTTTCAATATTTTGATGCACAAATTTTGCAAAGAAGGGGAAATGAGGGTAGCACAGTCAATTTTTGATGAAATCAGGAAATGGGGTTTGAGGCCTAGTGTTGTTAGTTTCAATACTTTGATGAATGGTTACGTAAGGTTGGGTGATTTGAATGAGGGGTTCACGCTAAAGAATGCAATGGAGGGGAGTGGAGTTCTTCCTGACGTTTATACTTACAGTATTTTGATAAATGGGTTGTGTAGGGAACATAGAATGGATGATGCAAATGAGTTGTTCAACGAGATGTTTGGCAAAGGATTGGTTCCGAATGATGTTACTTTCACTACATTGATTAATGGGCATTGCAAGAATGGGAGGATTGATTTGGCCATGGAAATTTATCAACAAATGTTGGGACAAGGTTTGGAACCCGACTTGATCACTTATAATACGCTTATCGATGGGCTTTGCAAGAACGATGACTTGACGGAAGCATGGGACCTTGTTGATCGAATGACTCGGAAGGGTTTGAAGCCTGACAAAATAACATACACTACTGTTATTGATGGATATTGTAAGGAGGGAAATTTGGAAAAGGCGTTTGAGATTAGGGAAGAAATGATCAAGGGAAGTATTGTTCTTGATAATGTAGCTTACACAGCCCTTATTTCTGGTTTATGTCGGGAAGGGCAAGTGGTTGATGCAGAGAGAATGTTGAGAGAAATGGTGACTGTTGGTTTGAGGCCCAATGATGCAACATATACAATGATCATAGACGGGTTTTGTAGGAAGGGTGATGTGAGAAAGGGTTTCAAGTTGCTTAAGGAGATGCAGAGAGATGGACATAAACCAGGAGTTATCACTTATAACGTTCTTATGAATGGTTATTGCAAACAAGGACAGATGAAAAATGCGGAAATGCTCCTAAATGCAATGCTTAATCTAGGAGTTTTTCCTGATGACATTACATATAACATCCTACTGGAAGGGCACTCTACATATGGAAACCAAGAGGATGTTGATAAGCTTCGTAGCTCAAAAGGTCTCGTTCTTGACTATGCTTCATATACTTCACTTGTTGGGAGCTTAAGCAAACAATTTAGACACCGTTTACAGAGATGATTGGTTGGGTAAAAAATGGCATCCTTATTTAATCAGCCATTTGAAACACTTATTAAGGAAAAAAGTTTGAAGAGGATACTCTGATTTTTTCTCATCCTCAGCTTTTTGCAAGGGCCTGGAATGTTCATTACTGTCTCATAGTAATTTGAATGCCTGAACTTCAGTCTGGTTTGATTGGGTCAGGCATTGCAGAGGATCTTGCGATGAAAATGGACACACATCCTGATGAAGTAACATATTTGTTTCCTTTACTGGGATTCTTGCAGTTGAAATGATAAAATGGTGTATTTTGTACATCTAAGAGAGAAGCACACTCCTTGTATTAATATTAAATCTGCACTCTTGAGAATATTGGCAACAACCTACTTGTACCATGCTTTTGAGCTTGATTACAAATACAGGGATCATTAAATATTGATGATGTAATGTGTACTTCAAATGGGAAGCCTTGGGCAATTGCTCAACAACTGGTTGCTCCATTGCAACCCAAGTCACAGAAACAGCCTTCTTAACTGGCAGAGACAAATTTATGTACATCTGTGTTTTCTAGATGCTATGGAACCATGTATTTTCATTTTACCTTTTATTCTTAATGCTGTCAAAAATCCTGCTGTTTTCAATGATCCATTCTCCTTTTTGATTCGTGGCACAAATGAAATCAATGGATCTTGGCCACCGAATATGATTATTGAATAATGGATTTTCTGTTGCATGTGAACCACAGATGAGAAATATGAATCTTTGGGTTTATTCAGTACCATTTTGTGGTTGAAGCCGCTAATAGATGAAGTAGTTAGTATTATGACTCAATGCTAACTTTTCTCAAAGAGGCTGCACCATTTAGAAAGACAATGAAAGGGTAGGTCCATGCTGAAGCAAAATTAAGACATTTTAAATTCTCATATTTCAAACCACGATGACATTCAAGACTGTTTCAATGATACAAGTGAATTGACATATCTGATTCTTGTTTCTTCTCATTGTTTTCACCTACTCCCCTTTTTGTTTTTCACTTTTTAATTCAATTTCATCTCTGATTACTTTCCGTCTAGGTACTTTTGGGAGTTATGCTTGATGTTATGACGAAAATAACTTCTTGTATTCAACTTTGCATTGATATGTCACCACATCAGTTACTTCCTTGCCTTGCGTAAACTTTTTTCTTTTAGCCCCGATTGTCAGTTGCCTTTTGTAACGTTTCTTTACATATTTTCTTGCTATTTAAATTTGAGGGTCAGCCTTTTGACTTGGTTCCAAAGATGATAATCATGGTGCTTCTTGAGCTGAATTATGCTATAAGAAAAATAATTCTAAATTACGTAGATTGTAATGCCAATGAGAAAAATCTAAACTACCAACCTTAAAAATGTGAGGTGCTTCAGACTTTCTAGTTTTGCATAAATATTGTCATCTATTTTCATTTCTCTCCGTCACTGGCGTCTGTCCACTGTTTGATTGATCATTTTGCCAATTATTTGAATCGTGGTGGTATTTAGTCGCCAATAGAAACCAATTTCATCATCAGTTATTTGGTTTCATCTTCTTCACAATCAGTTTCCCATAAATGGCGACAATAATTTATCATAGTTCTGAAGATTTCAGGTGGATTACATTAAATTTCACTGCAGATTTCCAACAATGCTGATATGGGCTTTCAATTTCAACAAGGCACGAGGCATGGATGCATCATGTGGTCATGCAATAAAGTGCTGTTGTCAAGGAGATTGATGGATGGCAAGAACAGGAAAGAAAAGCAAAAAACTGGTACAAGGAGATTGATGGATTACCATCTGTAGCAAAAATGAAGTAGCCTATAATGGGGAAGAGGGCAGATATTGGCATGAAGTCATTCAAAATGAGGAGGCTGGAGTAGAATACTATTAACAGGTTCTTGGTTGACCATTAATTCTAGAGATTCTTTTTACTTACTTTATTTTGTTACCTTCGAAACTTATTCTCTCTACCAAATGCATTTACTTGCTATCTGCACAAATACAGTCTATGTTTCTGTCTTGCAAACTAATTATTGTAGACAAAAAAAGAAATAGAAAATGAAAAATTATTGTTAAACTAACACAGCCACACATGATTATTGATGGGCAAAGTTTTTAGTTTCTCCGAAAATTGATGACCACTATCATATGCTTAAGGACTATTACTGGGGATTTTTATTGGCTTGTTAAACAAGAAGCCGTATTGAGAATGAATTTTGAATGACTATGATTTGACCCCGTGCTCAACAAATGACTGTTATTGGGAGTTTTTCATTGGCTTGTTAGACAAGCAGCCATGTTGAGAACAAATGTGGAATCATGGTGAATCCACTCTTTGCTCAATAAATATCTGAATTCATTCTTTACTCATCGGTACTGAGTTTCAACTTAAGCATCTCATAAGGTAGAGATCTTGGGTTCGAATCTGGAGACTCAATCGAAAGTAATGAGGGATAAGATGGATTTAGACTTTTCCAAAGCAGACAATACATATGATATAACCTGTGTTTGAGTCTCATTCTTTTTTAAAAAAAAAATGTATTTTGAAATAGTAGATTGATGGAGAATGTATGATTGAAAAAGAAAGAATTTTTTTTGGTTTATATGTAATATTATTTTAATAAAGAATATGTGGTTGAAAAGAAGATATAGAAAATCTATTTTAGGAAAAATTGAAATCAAACACCCCCATAATGCTTTGGGCACAAGGCTCAGGTCATTAGAAAAAACGTGTATTTTTAACGAATTTTTGTTGCGTCGCTCATTATTACTCAAGATCTCTTTTTTATGAGAGTTTGAAGATAGGCATAGGATCTCTCAAAACGAACAGTACATATGATATAACACTTTGGGTACAAAAGCTTGTGTCATTACATTAGGTCACTTTAGAGTTAATGGTCTTACAAAGCATGCACTTTAAGGTTCGAATGCAAGAGGAAATGAGACTTGCATACTTTGACATTCATGTGAGGTGTTACGAAGTTTAGATTACAAGCATTTATTGGATGGCTATGTAATTGATGGGATGAAAAGTGAAAACAAGTTAAATTGCTGAATTTATAAAAGATTAAACATGTTGGAGGGCATGTAGGTTGTAGCCCATTTCAATTATCCAAGTTATCTAATTAATCTAAATTTATTTGTGGCACACAATTAATCAAATTTGGGTTTTAAAGTATGAATGTGGATGTTAGACTTACAATTTCATCTAGTTATCACATTTAATTCTCTTATCAAGATTCATAACTATTTTAGCGTTCGATCGAATTTTTCTTAATTAATTTACCCCCGTCGAGTTCAAATTGATCATATTTAACTAAGTCAGTTTACCGTATCTCTTTGGGAATTGGAAAAAGCCTTAATTTTAAACCTCTAAAAACCTATGTAAGGACCATAATAATCAAAAAAGGTATATCAACACTTTTATCCAAATTATCGGATTTTATTATGTGATCGAAATCTATAATTTACCTCTTGATTGGTTACAAATTTACATATCATTGAATTAGTGGCCAGTTAATTCAAAACATTAAATTCTATAAATAAAATCTGCACATAATTAAACTTCTAGCATCTTGAGAATTAAAATAAAAGATTACACATATTGCATTGTTTTGCTCTAAATATGAATTTAGCTATCCATGCTAATGAAAGAAAAATAATAAAAAGGAATAGACTAATGAAAGAGAGAACCTCACTCCTTTCACGGAGAAAATAAACTATTGTGAAGCGACTATAGTCATCAATAAAAGTAACAAGATATTTACAATAAGCATGAAATACAACAGGTGCAAGACCCTAAATATCACTATGAACGATATCAAAAAATTGCGAAGTAGGAGAACCATAAGAAGGGAATGGTAAGACCTTACTTTTAGCAAGTTTACATGAAGTACAATAAGAGATAAAGATGAAATCGATCCAAAATTTTTATTACCAAACAAACTAGAGTTTAATAAGCAATGTAACACATTAGATTGAGATGTCCTAATCTCTTATGTCAATAAAACATATCAAAAGTAGCAGAATTACAAAAAATAAGAAATAATGAAACAGACTTTGGTGAATAGAAAGAGATGTATGTCCCTCCTTAAACTCCCTTATGATCGTCATCTAGGACACTTGATCCTGCACAAGACAACTAGAAGAAGAAAAGACACGGTGTAATCGTTATTAACAAGTTGATCAATACATATAAGATTAGTTGATAAATTATGAAAGACTAAGACATTAGGTAAATCTGAGGATACATTACCCACCACCATTATAAGTAGGGTGTTACCATCAGCATTGTATATATGGAGGGATCCAATGTACGGTTTAAGATTACTAAGCAACAGAGGATCATGAGTCATACGGTTGGAAGCACCTAAATCTAATAACCAAGAAAGAGCAGTTGATGTATTACCTGAGACGTCTAAAGCAGAATAACCATTTGTTGAATCACCTTAGGAGTGATGGGTATTTGGGAAGGACTGGAAGAGGCTAGAAATTGAGTGGAAGCAGCTAGCGGAGTAGAACAGAATGCGAAAGTGGTAGCAGCAACATAACCTGTTCCAAACTTGCGTGGGGACAACTAGGACACTCCTTAATGACATGTCCATGCTTCTTACAATAATTACATATTTTTTTGGGACACTGAAGAGCTATGTGATCAAACCCCTTACAATTGTAACACTGCACACCAGGCATATCTTGAGATTTGCATTTCCCTTGAGCAACAATGCAATAGAAACCGGTGCTACTTGATTCTGAAGTTGTTTCGAAGAAGTACAAGTAATAAGTAGTTGCTCCTCTTGCACCCAAACAATAATCTAATGTTGGAATGGATTCGTGATTCATAAGATTAGACAGGATGGATTCAAATTCAGCTCACAATTTCATGAGAAATTGATCCCTCTTGGTGGCTTCATGCTTAGCTTGAACAGCCGCCAAATTGTCAAGTGATATCGAAGTATAGATAACGTTTGTGTACAAAAATCTAATGGTTCATATAACTAGAATAATATTCTTTAATGGAGCAAGTGTCCTGAGAAAAATTTGCGAGCTCAAACTCTAACTACAGCCACCAATCATTGTTGCTTTGAAGGTAGATTTTCTTCAAGTAGTCCCATATAAAACGAGCTGACTTGTAAAGCATGAGATAAGAATCAATGATCTAGGCCATAATTCGGGAATACTTAGTTTTCCAGACAAAATATTTCTTCTTGTCCTTCTCTTGGTCAGGCGGCGGAATATTTTTGTTAATGTCTCCACAGATCATCTTTCCCTTCAATTAATAACTTAAAATGAAATGCTCATCAAGTGTAGTCTTTTTCCATTAAATCGAATGCAAATGGAGTCGATTTTTTCAGTTGTCATGATGAACCCATGTACAGTGCTGCCCAAAATAAATAAAGTGGAAATTACGTGAGATAAGAATTTTGGAGATTACATTTCAAAAATCATAGAATAGTTTGATTATTTCAAAAGTCAGAGATTTAAATAGATAAATATATAATAATTAATATATACACATATATATCAGTTACCCAAATCAGTTGACGTGTCTTTTGGTAAGATTGAATAGATATACATCAAACAGGAGAGAGAATATTAGACATATTCATAATCAACTCCCATTACGTGAAAAAACTGAAAATAGTCCCACGTCAAACCTCTAATCCAGCCACAATATCACGA